TTTTCATACATACATGCAAACATACAAACTTACATAGATACAGGAATGCATGCATGTCGTTCTTTTCATTTGGCTAGTTATCTGACTACTTGATTTTGTGGATGTGTTCTTCATAGACGGCTTGTGGTTCATGGAAACTGATTGTAAAGGTGTATATATGTATATGTCTGTATACACGCATGGCATATAGATATACATAGTATAAACATATATATATATATAATATATATATATATTATATATATGTATTATATATATATATTATATATATACATATAATACGTAATCCGTAAAAAAAACTGTGAGTAGCAATGCAGGAAGACATTGGGAGAAACAGTAACAGACGCCGCTGTCCTGAATCTGCAGCTGGGCCGGGCTCGGGCTGCACACGGAGTCTATGCTGATCATGTAGTTTCACACACATGCATGTGCCTACATGGGCACCAGCGGATGCCGGCTGCGAGGAAATGCGGGAAAATGTACATGCGATGCAAGCACATGGCTATCGAGTATGTGTACGAACACACGTTAAGGATCATGGCGGGCTTGCATGATTGTTGTCAGGGGACTTCATGTTGCATGTGTGTCTTGTGCCGGCATGGCTAGTTTACTTATTTCGTCTGTGTGCACACGTGTACAGTATACGTACATGAAAGAAGCCGCTTGCGCGGATCGCCCTGCGGTAACTGGCTAGGCTAGCAACGTTTGACCTGGCAACCGGTGTGGAATTCGGGCTCCATGCACTTGGATCCCCGGAGAAACATTGATGCCACATGCGGGCCCGGTAGGAATTCTCGCAGGAGTTTGAGTGCAAGGCTGAAGGTGTGGATACGGGTATGAGGCGAAACGGTTTCGACGAATGAAGCCCCTCGATTGGGCGCTGGCCTTAGCCTTTGGGTGTGAGGCATTTAGCCTAGGAAGTGTGAAGAATCGAAGCGATTCTGTCATGCTCCCCACCGAAGCCTTGCAGCATCCAGTCGAAACCTTGGGAACCCGAGACCCTATAGATGCGATAAGAACGAGGATTGTGCCTCATCACGATGCAAAACTGGGACGGTGATCAAAGCATCGTCGCGACACCTATAGTTTTGGTAACGGCAACACTCTATGTAGGCAGCCAGACTTCACCAGGAAGCCCTCCGACCAAATCCAAAGAAAGCCAAAGCCTCAGTTTTGCTACCGGGGCCGCACTGAATTCGTTTCTCCGCAACAGCCTGCTGCAGAAAAGGCAGGGGTTCCAAGTCTTGAAACGTCCTGAGGTCAGGCATGAGGTCTGAAGATATTATAAGATTCTGTCAGACACCGAGTCCAAGACTTGATATCATCTTAAAAGTCAACTTCCGGGTAAGCTTGGGCCCACTGACAGGGCCTGACAGGCCCCGCATCCCAGGAGTCACCACTGCCACGGTATGTAGAACCGCGTCTGCGGCGAGCAGAAGGACGCGGGCGGCCTTGACAGCTGTTGTCATGGGCTGAGGCGGCTTCGACTTGGAGAGTTTCAATCGACTTGAAGGCTACGGAAACGGAAGGGTTTAGGGTTTAGGGTTTACGGTCTACCAATCAAAAGCGGCTGAAAACCAAAGAACTCCAAGCGCCGAAGGACCGCAGCACGTGCGTTATGCCGGCCGTTGTATCGTCCCAACCGCATGATGTGGAGAGCTTCCCAAAGAAAACACCAAGATCTGGATCGCGGTTTAGGGTTTAGGGTTTAGGGTTTTTAGGGTTTAGGGTTTAGGGTATCTCCTGTTCTGTAGCTACTGCATTTTCGGTGCTTCATACAGGTGAGTACATGCAAGAAGACCAGTAAGCAAGCCCCGGTCTTGCTTATGCAGTCTCTCGATAATACAATCGTCCATGGCTCTTACCAGATTTTTTGTACTCGAGCAAGATTGCAGATGTACTTGTTCTAGGAACCCACCTTCTCCACATGCCCCAAAGATCCACAGCTTTAACTTTGGGAAACTTACTGGCATTCGGCTTGGCCGAAGGCGAACGCTCAACACCTGAGGCTCAGCGTTTCGCTTACTTTTTCAGGCGAGGCCCCGAACCCTAGAGGCCCTGCAGCTTCAGAAACGGCCGCTTCGGTCTCGGAAAAGACATCATCTCTAGAATCTGCTTAGATCCAAACCGCTGAGCCCCCTGTGGCACCATAAACTTCATACTGGTGAAAAGGCTGCAGTGGCTTCTGCTCTTTGCGGCCCTTCTCAATGCAAGCTGGCGCAAGCTCCTAAACGGAAACCCTGAGCACGCGAAGCGTTCTCGTTGGTACTGGGGGATAGACAGGTCCGGAGTCCAAGGAACAGCATGTCGTGAAATTGAAAGGTCGCGGATTGTGTTTCGGATTACTCGGGGAGAATCAGGCTCAATGTTATATCTTGCCATGGCATGTTTGACGTGAAGCAGGGGCTCCAGGTGGTTGCCCCTGTCTTTGCGAGACTTGGGGGGCGGACTTGCCGTGGCAAAGGAAGCGTTGCGAGCTAAGGCATGGAGAAGTGAACCGCCCTTGCTGCGCAGCATGACGGCTTCACATCCGACGCGGGCATTCTCAATCGCCTAGCCGTCATAAAGGAAACGGGACCATGATCCCCTAAACCTGATCATCGCGATCTTCCGGGCCAAAGCCCGACCACTGCTCCGCAACACAGTTACTCAGTTGGAACACCTGACATTCCGAGGCAGTCTTGGGGTTGTCAGGGGATTGAAGTTTGAAGTTTAGGTCCTTCCGGGCTTCATGAGGTTTTTGGGATGCATGGCACTCAGCCCCGTGTGCGAGCCCAAAAGTAACATGGAGCCACTGTCAGCACCAAGTCTGGATAGAGAGCAGTTCTCGCACACGATGCCGCATTTCATCCAGAAGAGGGCTGCTTAATTCTCTTCATTTCTTCTTCAGTTAATTACCGTAGACTGCCCGTGTCAGGTTTGTCGCAGTGCTTACCATAACAACTCCCTGATCGCCTACCAACCGACATGACAGCAATCATATGGGAGCCTTTGTATTTCGAACGTGAACAGGGCTTTGGGGTATGTCGTCGCATGACTTCGCAGGACGAAGGGAAGTCTATCGAACATTTACCATTAGCTCCGGCGTCTCTTCACTTCTCCTCTCGTTGCACTCGGCTCGAAGATTCTTGAACAGAGTTGCCCGTTGTAATGAGAAGCCTTCGACTTCTCACCCGATAGGAGCCCTAAATACGCTCGCCCCTACTGCTTGATATGAGACCCGTTGAAGACGGTACCTTCATCAACCAGTGAATTGTTAATTGGGGGTGAAGGCTGCACAAGATAACTCTGTTGTGCATCTCTTCCTTTCTTGCATCCGCAACGCAAGCTTCAAAAATGCTTGCCGAAAACGTCGGCGAATCTGAAAACTGCAGCTTGGTAGAGGTGGTAAAATCTGGTAAAGCTCGCAATACGGTCGGGTTTAAGTCTATATTTAGTTCCCGCCGCAGCCAAATAAGGCTGCTGGTTCAAAACAGGACGATGTCACACACAGTGCGAGTATGTGCGAGTGTCCGATCTGTATTTGGCAGAAGGAGGGTACAGTCAAAGAGATTAAGTAGGTAAGCCGCGCGGCCGCTTTTCGGCTCATAGTGTTGAAACCCTTCCGTTCTAGGACGTGTGCCAAGTTCGACATAAGTGCCGGGCGCATGGTTGGTGTGCGCCTGATCTCGCGGCGACCTGAAAGTGGAAGGCCTGGTTTGTGCAGGACATCCCAGAACATGTTGGGTCTTTCTGTGCATTTTCATGTCGAAGAGTGTATAGAGTATGACTTCCTTTCACCAAGCTGGAAGTCTCAGGAAGGCCTGCCGGCGAAGTTGTGATTTCAACGTCTGAGGCTCGACAGACATCGCGGGTCACGGCTCGC